CTGATATCCAGGATCTGCCAGACTTGATTTTGAGCAGGTGACATTTGGAGACAACCAGCCCAGCTGGGCTTGCTTGGTCACTGAGCTGTAGTCTGCTATTGGCCACACAGGACTGTAGGTCAGCCCATGGGAAGAGCAGCTGCAGGCCTCCTGATCCACGATGCTACAGAGGCCTCTGCTGGTCATCCACAGAGTTACAAGCATTCTTGTGGGCTGCATAGTTTGTGTGTGTGTGTGTGTGTGTGTGTGTGTGTGTGTGTGTTATCAATTTTGTGTGTGTGTGTGTGTGTTTTGTTTTTTGTTTTGTCGTGGGGGCTAGGTGCTGTCCCTCAGTTCTTCAGCTCAAGGCTAGCACCCTACTATTTGAGCTACAGCGCCACTTCCGGCTTATATTTCTGCTTACGTGGTACTGAGGAATTAAACCCAGGGCCTCATGCATGCAAGGCAAGCGCTCTACCACTGAGCCAACTTCCCAGCCTTAGGTTGCATAGTTTTTTTTCATTCATTCTTTCTCCCTCTCCCCCACCTGGAATTCCTGGTGCTTGAAGTCAAGGTCTGGGCTATTCTTAAGCATTTTCCCTCAAAGCTAGTGCTCTACCATTTGAGCCACAGCTCTGCTTCCAGCTTTTTATTGGATCATTGGAGATAAGAGTCTCATAGACTTTCCTTTCCAGGCTGGCTTCAAATATGGATCCTCAGATATCATCCTCCTGAATAGCTAGGATTGGGGGCATGAGCCACAACTACCATCCAACTAAGTCCTGGCTTTGCTCTTCACTGGCAAGACTTTGAGAAAATTATTTAACTTCTTTGACTCTCACCTTTACTTGTAGGAATGTTGAGAAGAGATTTTTTTCTTTTGTTTTGTTTTGTTTTGGGGTCCAGTCATGGGGCCTAAACTCTGGGCCTGGGCGCTGTCCCTCAGCTCTTCAGCTCAAGGCTAGCGCTCTACCACTTGAGCCACAGCGCCACTTCTGGCTTTTTTCTTTTTGCTTATGTGGTACTGAGGAATCGAACCCAGGGCCTCAGGCATGCAAGGCAAGCGCTCTACCACTGAGCCACCTTCCCAGCCCGATTTTTTTTCTTTTAATGACAATTCTGGGGCTTGAAACAGAAACAGAATGCTGTCTTTGAGCTTTTGAAACTCAAGGTTAGTGCTCTACCAGTTGAGCCTCAGCTCCACCTCCAGGTTTTTGGTAGTTCATTGGTGATAAGAGTTTCTTGGACTTTCCTGCCTAGACTGGCTTCAAACCTCAATCCTTAGACCTCAACCTCATGAGTAGCTAGGATTACAGGCATGAGCCACTGGCAACAAGTTTTTATGTTTCTTTCTTTTTTTTTTGAGGGGGGGGGAGTCTGGTCATGGGGCCTGAAGTCTGGGCCTGGGCGCTGTCCCTCAGCTCTTCAGCTCAAGGCTAGCGCTCTACCACTTGAGCCACAGTGCCACTTCCAGCTTTTTTCTTTTTGCTTATGTGGTGCTGAGGAATTGAACCCAGGGCCTCAGGCATGCAAGGCAAGCGCTCTACCACTGAGCCACCTTCCCAGCCCCTATTTTTGGATTTTCAAGCCATTACTTTTTTTTTTTTTGGTTGGTGGGGCCTGAACTCTGGGCCTGGGCGCTGTCCCTCAGCTCTTCAGCTCAAGGCTAGCACTCTACCACTTGAGCCACAGCACCACTTCTGGCTTTTTCTGCTTATGTGGTGCTGAGGAATCAAACCCAGGGCCTCATGCATGCAAGGCAAGCATTCTACCACTGAGCTACCTTCCCAGTCCCATCAAGCCATTACTTTTAATGACCATTATTTTGGTATTAGGAAACTTTATTATTTTAATTTTGGGAGGGGTACGGTCGTGGGGCCTGAACTCTGGGCCTGGGTGCTGTCCCTCAGCTCTTCAGCTCAAGGCTAGCACTCTACCACTTGAGCCACAATACCACTTCTGGCTTTTTTTTCCTGCTTATGTGGTGCTGAGGAATCGAACCCATGCCTCAAGCATGCAAGGCAAGTGCTCTACCACTAAGCCATCTTCCCAGCCCCTGGAACCCATATATTTCTTTGTGATGAGAAAACACATTTGCAGGCATTTGCAATCTCATAAAGGGCCATGGAAGTGAAATAACCAGGCAGAGAAAAACACTGAGCAATCTCAACAAAAATGGAAGCTATCAAAAATAGAACCAATCTCTTACCAAGGTTGAGAGTAGAATCATCATTACCAGAGACATGGAGAGATTGGTCCATGTCTTCATGATTCTGTGTTCAAGACTTTGGTATTCTCCATCCTATGGTCAAGTTGACCTGAGTAACAATGTGCTTTTGAAGATTTTCCAGTGTGGCATGTGCTTAAATATTACAGAGTGATTATGTGGGCAAATGACTCCACTGAGAGGAGTTCTCATAGGTAGAACAGAGCACACAGAGAATGGTGACAGAAATCACAGGTTTGGTGTCTGATGTCTTGGATTCAAATGAATGTGGAATCTATACAACGCATAGATTACTCTGTGCCAAAGTTTTATGTTTGGACTGTGGGAATGTTACCCCAGCCTGTTATTCCAATCGGATAACCATGGGGAAAGACAGGTGAGCCTTAACTCTACTTGCTTTATGTGGTTAAATAATTTGCAGCTCATAGATAACACCTACTGTTTCTTATGATCTCAACCCTGTCCTGAGGCAAGGGCAGAGTAAGTATTAAAAGTTAGAAATCTGGGGCTGGGAAGGTGGCTCAGTGGTAGAGCGCTTGCCTTGCATGCCTGAGGCCCTGGGTTCGATTCCTCAGCACCACATAAGCAAACAAACAAACAAACAAAAACTTCCTGGTTAAAAGTTAGAAATCTTTGAACACTTTCTCAGATCCCCCACACTCCTGAGTGATGGTAATGAGAAAAGAATCTAATTGGGTGCTAGATACAGAGCTCCTTCAACTCTTGATTCCTTTGCATGGTGTCTTGGAATCCAGAGCCAGTCTTAATCCCATTCTTAAATCCTTCTGCAAAGAAGTGTTCTGGAGAAGACTGATGCTCTAGGAGATAGCCTGAGCCAGGAAAAGATTCAAATTCTGAGCCTGTGCCTACTGATTACATTTCAATCCTGACCCAAAAATAGGACAAGTTCTTCTAAATAGACTATTTTTTTTTTTTTTGGTCGGTCGTGGGACTTGAACTCTGGGCCTGAGCACTGTCCCTGCGCTCTTCAGCTCAAGGCACGAGTGCTCTACCACTTGAGCCACAGTGCCACTTCTGGTTTTCTAGTGGTTTTTATTGGAGATAAGAGTCTCACGACTTTCCTGCCCGGGCTGGCTTTGAACCATGATCCTCAGAACTCAGCCTCCTGAGAAGCTAGGATTACAGGCGTGAGCCACCGTAAGTAAGTAGAGTTTTTTTTTTTTGAAGGACATGAGTAAGAGCACACACATGATTATCCTCTCTCAGCATCCTATCACTGTCAAAAGACTCGAGGGAGCCTTCATGACCTGTCCATGGACCTGTGGGCAGTGCATGAGCTGTGACCAGTGTTCTATTTGGCTCCCAAGATGGCTCAATGCACAGAACATCCTGAGCCAATTGCCAATTCAAATTACTGTATGTATCTATGCAGTAGAAAGTGACGAGTCAATTTTTACCTTCCCCTGTGATGTTCAAGCACATGCCATACTAGAAAATCTTCAAAAGCACACTCAAGTCATGTTGGTTTGACCAAAGGATTAAGAAGACCAAAATCTTGAACAGAGAATCCTGTAGACAGTGACCAATCTCTCTATGTCTCTGGTAACAGCTATTCTACTTACAAGTTCTGTGAGAAATTGGTTTTTGTAAGCTCCCATTTTTGGGTGTGATTGCTCAGTATCTTTCTGTGCCTGGTTATTTCACTTACTGTACTATCTTCCATGGTCCTTCATGAGATTGCAAGTGATAGCTTTCTTCTCCTCACAAAGAAATATGTGTTCTGGCTGTTGGATATGCAATCTCTGCACAATGAAATCATGGAATATCACACTGTACTTCAAAACGAGTGCAATGTAAGTTGTAATCAAATAAAATGATTGACTGTGAAATTATTACTAATGCCACATGGTCAGCATTCTGTTCTCAATCTCTGTGAGATGTCGATTGTACTTATCTTCAATTTTTGTGTGCCATTACTAAATATCTTTCTGTATCTGGTTATTTTCACAATCAGTGAAAATACATTTTTGAATGCTGCTCATTGTCATTTTTAAATGGACCAAAGCTCTTATTTCTGAGAAGAGATTATAAAATTACCTTGACAAATCATTCCTTATTGTAAGAGAGATGAGTCAACAACTTCACTCTCTTCGTTACTTGTGAAGCCTAGAAGTAATTAATGCCCATCACTGGTGCACAATCCTTTGGATAATATTCATATACATCATACCCACTCAATACAATGAGAAGATGAGAAATACTGGCTCAGTGAATGCCAAGAATAAAGAATGGCTTCTCACTATACCTAGCTTACCTCTGCCTTGAAGGATTTCTCTCTATACTTTACAGAGGTTTCTGACTAAGAGTTTCCTACATTGGGTTTCTTTCCTGTGTGAGTGCTCTTATGCTTGCTGAAGACTGAGTTCTGGTTAAAGACTTCCTCTAATGTTTACACTTACAGAGAGTCTGTCATGTGTTCAGCTCTCTGTTACATGTAGAGATGTGACTTCTGAATGCAGGTTTTTCCACATTTATTATACTGAGAATTTCCCTACTGTGTAAGATCCCAGATGCACTGGGGACTGATCTCTGATTAAAAGTCATTGCACCTGTGTTGCATTTGTTAATTTTCTTTTCTCCTATGTGAGTCAGTTCTCCGATGAACAGTGAGGTATACCTTCCAGGTCAAAGAATTTCCACATTTGTACTATTTATAAGGTTTCTCTTCTGAGTGAGTTCTAGAAACACTGGGCTGTGTCTTCTTGGTGGAGGATTTTTCACATTTCTTACATTCATAAAGTTTCTCTCCTGTGTTTGCTGATGCAAACAGGGGGTGATTTCTTACTGGAAAACTTTCCACATTTGTTTCATTCATAAGATTTCTCTCCTATGTGTGTTCAAAGATGAATCCTGAGCTGTGTCTTCTGGGGGAAAAACTGAACGTATGCTACATTCATAAGGCTTCTCTCCGATGTGAGTTCTCTGATGCAAACTGAGCTTTCCTCCAAGGGAAAGGCTTCCCCCATTTATTACATTCCTAAGTTTCTGATGTGTAAATTCTCTTGTTTGGTTTTGTATCAGGTAATTTTGGTGTTCTGTTGAAGGAGTAACTGTCAAATCTAATGTCCCGAGGCTTTCCTTCCCTCCTCTTTTCTTACCTGAACATTTAATGTTAACAGTTAATTGGATGCCACAATAAAACAAGGTTATAATTAATTTAATTTACTGTTATTATAGAGGTGATGTACAGAGAGATTACAATTAATGAGTCAGATAATAAGTACATTTCCTTTCATACAGTGATTTCCATTCCCTCACTTTCTCCCATCTCTATTCGTGAGATTTTATTTATTTATTTATTTTTACCAGCATCTAATGACTTCCATGGCTTCCTATTTCCCTGGAGTTTTCCCCACCCTCTAGAAGTTACACATGTGAATACACCATACATAATTAAAACCATTTTGTTTTACTCCAAAGTTGAAGTAAAAAAAGGTTCCCTTTAATTATACTACAAATCACAGTAATAGCGTACATTTATTCCAGATCTATTCTTTTTTTTCTGCTTATTTCACTCATACATTATTAGAAATATATTGTTGAATTGTAATGTATTTATTTAACTTACAGCTTTATTTCTCATATTGAGATTTACTCTCAGTGTGTCTGTCTTGTTAAATGTAACACCACAGTGCTTTGATTTGTTTTTGTTTTTTTGGGTTGGGTCGTGGGGCCTGAACTCTGGGCTTGGGCGCTGTCCCTCAGCTCTTCAGCTTAAGGCTAGTGCTCTGCCACTTGAGCCACAGCGCCACTTCCGGCTTTTTCTTTTTGCTTATGTGGTGCTGAGAAATCGAACCCAGGGCCTCAGGCATGCAAGGCAAGTGCTCTACCACTGAGCCACCTTCCCAGCTCCACACAGTGCTTTGATAAACAGTGTTTAGGTTAAGATAATTCCATTCATGTGTGTTTCTGCTGACCTTTTGTCTAGTTGTTCTATCAGCTAGAGGAGTATTAGTTCTCCAATAGTAATGGTAGATTAAAGAACTTGTAATTCTATGTCCTTTTAAACATGTCTTTGGAGACTGCTTTTCAGCATACAACTTTTATGATCCAGATGTATGATCTGGATCATGAATGATCTTATTGATTGTATCTGCAGTCATACAATTTGTGCTGATGTTTGTTTCCTTTCATAATATAACTATTTGTATTTTTCATTAATGAATTTTGCTTATGGTATCATTGAATTTATTTTTATTTCTCTATATTCAGTGTATATTCTTTGGATAGCTTCTTGAGTTTTTTGAGTGTTATTTTTTTCTTCTGTTCAAGTTAGTGTCTTATATATTTACTATATTTATATTATAGTAATAACACCAATTCACTTTGAAGACCATTTTGCTATTTGTCTCATCTGACATTTATTTCCTATTGATTCCATATAACCTGCATACATCTTTCTGTACACTGTAAATGACCTCTAATACAACCTGCAGGCATTCTTCTATAAAAGTATAAATTGCCTATCATACCTATTACAATTTAAATCCTATATAAATAGTTGTTATACTGCATTGTTCGTAGGAGAATAACAATTTGTTCAAAGACTGCACGTTTAATACAGGTGACATACTTTATCAAACGTTTTGGTTCTATGGTTCATTGAATCTATTTTTTGTCAACACTTCACAGATATATTTTCTCTTTGTGTGTTAATCAGCATTCACCTTTGGTATTGTCAAGTATGGCTGGACTGGTGGGATTGTTGGTCATTCTTCATCCATAATGGGGTTCAGCATGGGAGTCTAAAATCTCTCCTTTTAGCCTCTGCTCGACAAATTTATACTGTTTTCCATTCCAACTTAAAAAAAAATTCTTACATATTTTTTAGATCACATCCCTCTTTATTCCTTTATTTCTCTTTCCTAATTGTGGTAGTCATATTTCACATTCTTTGTCATCTTGATTGTTCCTTAAGCCTCTGTTCATTTGCCTCCATCCTTCCATGAAGGCCTATTAAAATGCACATCTGGTCAAGAACCATTTTATTTCCCTCTTACTTATACTCAGTATTGTAGGAGGTAGGCAATGTTCACAAAAGTTCATGCTTGCAGTTCTTTTTTACTTAGGAAGGAAATAGGGTATCTATGACCACAATTCAATCTTTAGGCAAAAACGATTAACATAGGATATTTTTATTGTGGGAACTAAGTCAAATCTTATAAGGGCCAAATCAATCATTAGCTATTTTTTTTAGTACTGTTGTTCCCTTTAACATTCTCCTGGACATTGTGCTTTTGGTAGATCTACCAAAACACATGGTATCCCATGTGATGTCTTGAATGTTCTAACGGCTTATGAGAGCATTTTTTATTTCTTTTCTTTTCTTTTTTTTTTGTGCCGGTCGTAGGGCCTGAACTTTGGACCTGGGCTGTCCCTCAGCTCTTCAGCTCAAGGCTAGCACCCTACCACTTGAGCCATAGCACCACTTCTGGCTTTTTCTGCTTATGTGGTGCTGAGGAATCAAACCCAGGGCCTCATGCATGCAAGGCAAGCACTCTACCACTGAGCCACCTTCCCAGCCCATGAAAGCACTTTTTAATAGAAGATATAAATAGGCTTTTCAGTGAGACAGAATATAAAAATGCAGGAAAAAATATTTCTTTATTCATTGTTACCCTGATATGTAGTATATTTTATCAAAATAAGCTAACTCTCTCAGATACCTCCTTATACTTAATGTTGTTAGAATTGTTATTTTGTCTCTGTTGCTAGCACCAGAAATGTGTTGTGATATATTAGGGGAACTGTGTATTTTAATAACTAAGTTAATATAGAGGCAAATATTTCTACTTCTCTTTCATTGTATAGATAACACAGCATTTTTCAGATATTTTATGTAAGACAAAAGCTTACATGTAGAAGAATGAAATTCCAGACTTGTTCTCATGACTCAAAGCTAATTACTTGATAGAAATATGACCTTACAAAAGCAGGTGTCATTTGATGATGTGGCTGTGGACTTCACATAGGAGGACTAACAGGACCTGGACATTGCTCAGAGCACCCTGTATAGAGATGTAATCCTAGAGACCTACAGCAACCTGGTATCCTTGGGTAAGCAAAAGTCACATTGTGTTGCAAGGTCAAGTGATTTGTTTTCAGTAGTTATGTGAAACTTTCAGTGCTAAGCATGGGAAGTATCATTTCTTTCTAATAAAAACTTCCATTTGATTAAGTAACTCCTGAGGCAATTTTAGATTCATTCTTCAAGAAGCCAAATCATTAGTTTGACAAAAGTTCTATACTATGCTCCACTAGCAGGAGACTGTCTTCCCAATCTCAAGGTTGATTATTTTAGGTGATATACAATCTAGAATAGAATGTATATGGCTATTGAAAGTGTGATCTGGAAATCACTAGTTTATAGTGGATATTTATAATCCAAACCTGGCTCTGGGTGCTAGCATTACAAGCCTATAATTCTAGCTAATCAGGAGGCTGAAATCTGGGGATCTGGTTTGAAGACAGCAATGGCTAAATAGTCCCCATGAGACCTTTTTTTTTTTTTTGCTGATTGTGGGGCCTGAACTCTGGGCTTAGGTACTATCCTTCAGCTCTTTGGCTCACTTGAGCCAGCCACAGCGCCACTTCCAGCCTTTTCTGCTTATGTGGTGGTGAGGAATCAAACCCAGGGCCTCATGCATGCAAGGCAAGCACTCTACCACTGAGCCACCTTCCCAGCCTCCCCCCCCCCCCCGCCCCGCCCCCCCCCCCCCCCCCAGCCATGAGACTCTTAACTCCAATTAACCACTCAAAAAATGGAAATGGAGCTGGGACTTAAACTGGTAGAATGCTAACTTTAAGCAAAAGAGCTGAATTTAAGAAACGTAACTGGCAAAATAAATTCAAAGCTGTGCAAAAGTCAACCATGGAGCCAGTGAGAAATGAGAAACAATATTTCAGAGCAACTTTGTGAGCAGGATGTCTGAGATCTTAGGGCAATGATGACCCAGCATGAGCAATAGTTCTCCGCTATTTCTTATTAACAGGGAACTGTGTTGCTAAACCTAAATTGATTGTCAAGTTGGAGCAAGGTGCAGAACCATGGATAGGAGACACCTCAGACAAGAATTTCACATGTGAGTTAATTCATCTTGCATAGTGATGATGGAGCCAGAGGCCAGTTGGTAAGTTTATGTTGCTCTGTACTGAGCAAGCAACAGTGTTCCTAGTTCCCCTGAGTCATGTGTGTGGCAGAGAACTAGGTGATCCTTTGTCTCAAAGACTTGTGAATCAAGAATTCATGTGGCGACATCCTGAACTCTGTGTGGCAGTAGACATAAAGTTAGCAGCTCGCTTTCTCTTTGTGGAAATTATTCTGAAACAAAAAAAAAATGAAAATGAGGAATGTAGAAAATAGATTTTATTTTCTTTGAAGCTAGGACTGTGTAGGTATGAGGAAATAAAGAGAATGCCAGGGCTGCTATCCTCTGATAAGGACAATAATGTATTGGTGGTGGGCAGAAACTGGGATTCAGAACCTGAGGTTTTAGTCTAGAGAAGGTGATTAACTAGGTGGTGAGCTGGAGTATCTTTGGTCTTCCATGGTTCTGAGGGGCAGGAGTGTCAGTAAAGGAATTTAGATGAGACAGAAATGATTTAAAAATTCCTGCAGATACCTGAAGTTATTCTTAGTGAGAAGTTAGAGCTGAAGACCTGCAGGTATAAATCCTTACTCTCAGGAACCATTCCTGCTTAGGTGAAAGGCAAAGGAATGTACAAAACACTCTAATGGTCTCTGAATATTCAAAATATGGGGCTGGGAAGTTGGCTCAGTGGTAGAGTGCTTGCCTTGCATGCCTGAGGCCCTGGGTTCCATTCCTCAGCACCACATAAGCAAAAAGAAAAAAGCCGGAAGTGGTGCTGTGGCTCAAGTGGTAGAGTGCTAGCCTTGAGCTGAAGAGCTGAGGGACAGCGCCCAGGCCCAGAATTCAAGCCCCACAACCAGACCCCCCCCCCCAAAAAAAAAATTTATATATTGTGCTGCTTTGATTCTCAACCATTAGGTGAAGAACAGACATATTTTGAATTTTTTTGGGGGGGGGGGTCCGGTTGTGGGGCCTGAACTCTGGGCCTGGGTGCTGTCCCTCAGCTCTTCAGCTCAAGGCTAGCGCTCTACCACTTGAGCCACAGTGCCACTTCCAGCTTTTTTTCTTTTTGCCTATGTGGTGCTGGGGAATCGAACCCAAGGCCTCAGGCATGCAAGGCAAGCGCTCTACCACTGAGCCACCTTCCCAGCCCAACAATATATAAATTTTTAAGAAAATAAAAGAAAACAAAGCAGTTATTCCCTTATGATCAAACAAACAATATTTGAAAAAAAAAAAAACCCCTAAGTATAGTAAAGACAGATGGTAAATACTCAGCTTAAAACTCCAACAGTATGTAGTTGAGTAATTTGAGTAAATATTTCCTCTGATATAAATAGAAGAAAAAACTTCAATCTTGAAAAATGTTATTTTCCATTGTAAAATATCAGCGTTACTTTCTTAGCTAAAAAGTTAGGAAGAAAAGGATAGATTTCTCATAAATCAGTTCCTACTTTGCTATTATAAAATCTCTAACATTTAGGATGGAGAAAATGTCTTTACCTTTACATTAAGGAATCTTTGGATCTCATTTATGATTTTGTCTTTTTTATCTATCACTCATTTTAGATGTTTAAGAAATGGAAGACACGATTAATCCTGCCAAGAAAGTCCAGATGAATGTCTGTGTGAAGTAGCAGTCATGAATAGTAACATGGATGTCTGCGTGAAGTAGCAGTCATGAATAGTAACACAGTGGAGGAAAGCATGAAATTAGTAACAGCTTTTAATTTGAGCTCAAAATGTAAACCAAAAATGATTAGGAATAATGGGAACTCCTTAGGGATGAGGACTGAGGAATTCATTGAGTGTTAGAATATGCTTGTCGAAAGTGAGCCTGATGACATGCAAGCTGCATGTAGTTGAACAATCCCTTAGATATTCAGAGCATTTTAGTCAATATTATGAGAGTCCAAATGAGCTGCAGTATTTTGAATATGGTGAAGGGAAGGTATTAAACTCAGAGACCATATTCTTTTGATGTAATTGGGTTTGTGTGGGAGAGTCCTCCTATAACCATAATGAAGATAGAAAAGACTATGGTAAGTCTGCTCTCCTTGCCCAAGAAATTCTTTAGGGAGGGAGGAAAACACCTGAATATAGTATAAGTGGAAAAACATTCTACTTAAAACTTACAATCACTATGCATCAGAAAATGTACAAGGGAGAGAATCCTTGTCTATGTAGTAAATATGAGAAATCTTTCAGTAAGCAAATATGCCTTAAGGGCTGGGAAGGTGGCTCAGTGGTAGAGTGCCTGCCTTGCATGCATGAGGCCCTGGGTTCAATTCCTCAGCACCATATAAGCAAAAAAAAAAAAAAAAAGCCAGAAATGGTGCTGTGGCTCCACTGGTAGAGCACTAGCCTTGAGCTGAAGAGCTGAGGGACAGCACTCAGGCCCAGAGTTCAAGCCCCATAACCAAAAAAATAAAAATAAAAATAAATAAAAATAAAAAATAAATAAAAATATTTTTTAAAAAAAATCTTAAAAAAATCTCTGAGCAAATATCAAAAGCAAATCCAATGAGTATATCCATGGTGTAAAATCTGTCTGTGAGAAGTCAGACTTGACTTGCCAACCTAAAACATCGCCAGAAGAGAAACACTATGAATATGAGGAATGAAGGACATTTTCCACCCAGAAGTCAACTCTCAGCAGGTATCAAAGAACTGACACAGAAGAGAAACCTTAAGAATGTAACAAATGTGGAAAATCTCAAATGGAAGTCACAAGTTATTTTGCATCAGAGAACACACACAGGAGAGAAACATTATGAATGCAACAGATGTGAAAAGTCCTTCAACCAGAGGTCACACCTCAACAGCCATAAGAATATTCACACAGGAGAGAAACCTTATGAATGTAATAAATGTAGAAAGTCTTTCAGGCTGAAGGCATACTTCACTTTGCATCAGAGAACACACACAGGAGAGAAATCTTATAAATGTAACAAATGTGGAACAACTTTCAACTAGAGGTCACACCTCGACAGGCATTCCAGAATTCACACAGGTGAGAAACTTTATGAATGTAACAAATGTGGAAAGTCCTTCACACGAAATTCACACCTTAGTGAGCATAAGAGAATTCACATATGTGAGAAACCTTAGGAATGGAATAAAGATGAAAAGCTTGTTATCTGGAACAAAACTCACCTTGCATCAGAGAACCAGCACCAGAGAGAAGCCTTGTGAATGTAGCAAATGTATAGTCTTTCACTCACAGGAAAGAAACCATATGAATGTAACAAATGTGGAAAGTCCTTTACCAAGAAAGCATGGCTCAATATTAATGAACACAAACAAGAGAAAAACCTTATGTATATTACACGTAAGTAAACTCTTTCAACTGGAAGGTATACTTCAGTGTTCATAAAGAACTGAATCACAAAGGAGAAAAGAAAACTAATGAATATAACAAACATGCAAAGACTTTTTTTTGTTTTGTTTTGTTTGTTTTTTTGGTCGGTCGTGGGGCCTGAACCCTGGGCCTGGGTGCTGTCCCTCAGATCTTCAGCTGAAGGTTAGTACTCTACCACTTGAGAGTCAGCCCCACTTCCGGCTTTTTCTGCTTATGTGGTGCTGAGGAATTGAACCCAGGGCCTCATGCATACAAGGCAAGCGCTCTACCACTGAGCCACCTTCCCAGCCCTGCAAAGACTTTTTATCAGAAGTCAATCCTCATTGCACGTGAGAACATGCACAAGAGAGTATCTGAGTGTAATAAATGTAGAAAAACATTTAGCCAGAAGTCACATCTCTACAGGTATCAGAGTCCTGAAGACATGACAGAATTTCTCTAATGTCAACATTAGAGGAAGTCTTTGATCCAGAAGTCAACCTTCAGCAAGCATTACAGTACTCACACAGTAAAGAAAATCTTTGTCAGAAACCTCTGTAAATTATACAGAGAAATCCTTTATGGCAGAGGTAAGCGAGGTGTGATGGGAAACCATTCTTTACATTGGGCACTCACTGAGTGAACATTTCTCATTCTCTCATTGTGTTGAGTAGGGATGATATCCCTGAATATTATCCAAAGGATTTGGACACAAATGATGGGCATTCATTACTTTCAGGCTTGACAAGCATTTAAGAGAGGGAAGTTGTTGACTTATATATGTTATAATAAGGCATGGTTTGTCAAGGAAATTTTATAAACTCTTCTCAGAAATAAGAGCTCCAGCCTTTGAGACTGGGGTCAGATCATCTCCATGGTGGTTTGGGGAATGATACATGGGGAAAGACTGTCATGATTTGAGCCAAGGACATAAGAGCATTGATTTCTCCACTCCTCCCCCAAAATCTCCCCCCCCCCATATGTGTGATTCTTGTATTATAACACTAATGACTTAATATTTCCAGTTCAATTTTTGAATGGAAGAGCTGATGGAAGATACCACTCCTTGTTTATTACCAAGTGAGCACCATAATAAAATCTGTCTCGGGCTGGGAAGATGGCTCAGTGGTAGAGTGCTTGCCTTGCATGCATGAGGCCCTGGGTTTGATTCCTCAGCACCACATAAGCAGAAAAAGCCGGTAGTGGAGCTGTGGCTCAAGTGGTGAGCACTAGCCTTGAGCTGAAGAGCTGAGGGACAGCGCCCAGGCCCAGAGTTCAGGCTCTGACAAAAATAAAAATAAAAAATAAATAAAATCTGTCTCATCACTTTTAGACCCCAAGTTCATGAAACAATCAGATACCATTGAAGGACACACATTTGGGGATGCATTTTCTTTGTGTGTGGGTACAAGTCCTGCAGTTTGAACTCGGAGCCTAGGCACTGTCCTTATGCATTTTTGCTCAAGGCTAGTGCTCTACCACTTGAGCCACAGCTCCACTTCTGGTTTTGTTGGTGGTTAAATAAAGAAGATTCTTAAGCATTTGGTTTTGGATTAGTAATCCCAAAATGACTTCAGTGCATACTTTATATTGAATCGATCACTGGTGATGAGTCACTTCTGATTGATTGACTCAGCTAATTCTCTTGTTCTTACGAGTGATTTGTAAAACACCAATGTGGATGATGTGAAGAGCCTGTGTTTTCTCACTGTTCTAGAGGAAGATGAATATCTCTCTACTACCACTACTATCCCTTTCTCCAGCTCCCTGAAGATTGTTGTACCAAAATACAAGCATGACATGGTTTTGTTAATGTTAATTTTGGGAATAATGAAAAAACTAGTAACATGGAAAAAAATTTGGAACAAAAGCTAGTTAGAAGATGCCTAAAGAAATCCTGGGATGAGGGAGATAAGTAGATAGAGGTACAACTTTGCTAGTTATTAAATATTGTAAAATATAGGTAAAAGTGATCCTCATGGCTGTATAATGTATAGGTAGGTACATACAGTGTGTTGAAGTAAAATGTGATGTTCCATGTTTTTATTGTGTAGTGTTTGTATATCTAACATTAGCAACACATATATATCTTTGTGATGGAAGGAGGCTGCCAACCTAAGTTAAATAAGGTATAGAAAGATATTGAGCAATCACACAAAAATAGCCGCTAACAAATATGAAACCAACTTTTCACAGAAGTTGAGAGCACAACAGTTGACCATGTGACAATTTGTAATAATTTCTTCACAAACTTTTTCCTTGATTACAAATTACATTTCACTTACTTTGAAGGACAATGTGCTGTTACATGGTTTCTTTGTGCAGTGATTGCACCCAACACCTGGAATACATATCTTTCTTTATGATGAGAAGAAGGCTGTCATTTGCAATTTCATGGAGAGCCAAGGAAGATAAGACGTCAGGGGTGACAGAAAGATGTTAAGCAATTTCACACAAAAATGGAAGCTAACAGAAATAGAACCAATTTCTCACAGGAGAGTAGAAGAGCTATTACATAGGGAGAGATTGATTGATCCAGGTGTTTATTGTTACACGCAATTAGCATTAAGTTCTGTTGTTTTATTCCATAGTGAATCTAGTTTACAACGAAATAAGGTGTATTTCAAATAGAAAAGAGGAATCTCAAGGATTTTGTGTTCAAGATTTTGGTCTTTTTAACCCTTTGGGTGGCCAGATTGACCTGAGTCTGAGTACGTTTTGAAGATTTTGCAGTGTGGCATGTGCTTAAAGACTACCAAATGGTAATGTAGGCAAATGTCTTCGCTGACAGGAGGTCACATAGAAAGAACAGATCAGAGAGAATGGTGACAGAAATCACGGGGCTGCAGCATGATGTCCTCCATTCAGATCAAACGTGGAATGTATGCCATGTATAGATTACTCTGTGTCAAGTTCCATGTTTGGAGTTGTGGAAATGTTACCCCGGCCTATGTTATTCCATAGCTAACCATGGTGAAATACAGTTAAGCCTTAACTCCACTTCCTTTATGTGGCTAAATATTTTTGTTTTGCCAGTTGTGGGGCCTGAACTCTGGGCCTGGGTGCTTTCTCTCAGCTCTTCTAGCTCAAGGCTAGCACTCTACAACTTGAGCCACAGCACCACTTCTGGCTTTTTTTGCTTATGTGGTGCTGAGGTATCGAACCCAGGGCCTCGAGCATGCAAGGCAAGCGCTCTACCACTGAGCCACCTTCCCAGCCCCAGTGGCTAACTGTTTTGTTGCTTATAAGTAGTATCTGGTCTTTCCTGTGATCTCAACCCAGCCCTGAGGGAAGGGCAGACCAAGAATTGAAATTCAGGGATTTTTGAACACTTCTCAGATTTCCAACACTACTGGGTGATGGTAATGGGAAAAGAATCTGACTGGGTGCTATAGACAGAGCTCCCTCTACCCTTGAGTCCTCTGCATCTTGTCAGAATTGTGTCTCAATCCCCTCCTTAAATCCTTCTGCAAGAAAGTGATCCTGGGAATACTAGGACACAGCCTGAGCCAGGGAAAGTTTCAAATCAGGAACCTGTCTACTGCCTCTACATTTCCATTCCTGACCAAAATAGGACAGCTTCTTCTGAATAATGTTCCTCTAGAGACCATCAGGAAGATCACATGTGTGACCAGCCTCTTGCAGCATCTTCTCACTGTCAAAGGCTTCTAGATAGCCCTCATGATCAGTAGGTGACCCCATGTTTGACCAGTGTTCTGCGTGGCTCCCAAGATGCCTCAATATTAGCTCAAGCTAATGAGTGGAGGCTCTATATTCTACAGGACTGATACTTCACATATTCATTGGAGGATGGCGACAACTTTCTGCTGATTACTGATCAGAGCCACAGTGAACAAGCGGACAAGATAAGCTGAGAAGAGGAACTTTCCTAGTCAGGTCCTCCTCACTAACCCTGGTTTTAGTTAGTTTTACCCTCACTAGTAAATACCTAGTAGATACCTAGTCACTGCCACAGTCTGTAACTTGAACTACTCACTGAGGATCACCCAGAGTACTTTTCCTCCATCACCCAGTGTTGTCTCTTCTGTACTGATGACACTACTTGTCATCACTTCCCAAGGACTAAGTTATCAGTACTCTCAGTCATTCTACCATGAAAATCTGTCTTCTAAAATTTCCTGATTTCTCATGTCTCACATTCTCTATTTGGAGATCTACAAGAAGAGGCAAATGTATAATTTCGGTTTCATGACATTCTATTACTATATGTACATTTTTCCTTCTATTTGTGCTGTTGGTTTTGCTTGAACTCATGGCCCTTTGCTTGCCTTTGTCGTTTATGCTCAAGCTTGGTACTCGACCCCTTGTAACATCTTTCATTCTGAGGTTCTATTTACTATCAGAAGCTCCCTCACCTGATGAAGGCAGCTTAGTTGTACACCCTATTATCGATTCTCAAGTTGTTTACAAAACCTACATGAGAAAAACTGCAATGATTTAAATTAGGAAAAAGAAGGTTCATAGCAGAATCTATAATTCAAATTGAATAACTGAATTTTTTAACGTTTAAAAATAAATAGAGATACTGGAGAATCAAAAGACGAGTAGTACAGATTAAGTAACACTGAGCAGTCCCATGCGTAAAAGCAGCATTCAGAAGAAGCTCTCTGTGAACATACCTCTACAATAATGGTTCAGATTTCTCATCTCTTGGATTTAAGACAGGGATTTGAGAATGTCCCAACTGTCCACAAAAGTGAACCTCTTGGATCTGAGTGATAGTTGGATTAGAAGGCAAGACATGCAGCCGGGCTCTGGTGGCTCACGCCTGTAATCCTAGCTACTCAGGAGGCTGAGATCTGAGGATCACGGTTCAAAGCCAGCCCGGGCAGGAAAGACTGTGAGACTCCTATCTCCAATAAACCACTAGAAAACCAGAAATGGCGCTGTAGCTCAAGTGGTAGAGTGCTCGCCTTGAGCTGAAGAGCTGAGGGACAGCGCCCAGGCCCAGAGTTCAAGCCCCACGACCAACAAAAAAAAAAAAAGAAGGCAAGACATGCATCAACATAGCACCATGGTGTTCACATTGAGCACCTGTTACCAGACATCCCATTGGATAGTTTTATTTTACAAACCCATTCCAAGAAACACATTATACTAATGTCTACATATGAAATCATTAAAAAGGCAACAATGATCTGCATTTTTAATGTATTTTCACTGCTCATGTAAATTTTATTATGAACCAAGGAAAAGAGGTGAAAGATAATAAAAAGAATCTGGGGCTGGGAAAGTGGCTCAGGGGTAGAGCGCTTGCCTTGCATGCTCAAGGCCCTGGGTTTGATTCCTCAGCACCCATAAGTAAAAAGAAAAAAGCCGGAAGTGGCGCTGTGGCTCAAGTGGTAGAGCGCTAGCATTGAGCTGAAGAGCTAAGGGACAGCGCCCAGGCCCAGAGTTCAGGCCCCACAACCAGACCCCCCCACAAAACAACAACAACAACAAAAAACCCAAAAATAAAAGCACCCACCCCCCACACAAACCCCAAACTGATTTCTTCTTTGTTCTATTTTCCTTCCATTCATCACCTTTCTTCCTAGTTGTAACTAAATACTTGAACTTATTCCATTTTCTACTTTCTTCCTTTTCTCTTTTGGGGATTGTACTCTGGAACTTGTACAGGGAAAATAGGTACTACATACTACCCTGTTCTTCTACTTTTTGGGGGGGGGGTTCGGTTTTGGGGCCTGAACTCTGGGCCTGGGTGCTGTCCCTCAGCTCTTCAGCTCAAGGCTAGCGCTCTACCACTTGAGCCACAGCACCACTTCCAGCTTTTTCCCCCACTTATGTGGTGCTGAGGAATCGAACCCAGGGCCTCATGCATGCAAGGCAAGCACTCTACCACTGAGCCACCTTCCCAGCCCTTGTTCTTCTACTTCTTGGTCATCTTCTTCTGGTTCTTGTTTTATTTTTTTAGTTAGCTGATCCTGGAGCTTGAACTCGGTGCCTGGGT